ACGTTGTTTAATTTTGCCTTTTCGTTTTCTTCCACTCAATTACTATAGCTTGGGAGTTGCACAGCCCTGCAGCTTGGTGTGAATTCTTTGACAATTTGTTTCTTCCCATCTCTTGCATCCTCTGCTCCATTTGACACACTGCTTAAGCTATTAGAATTGCTCTCAAGTTACTGTATGCCCGAGGAGATCTCCGCTCTATCAGATCTATTTGTAACCACCAAAAAGCTTCTCATTTTACAGGCGGTTGGCCCAAAACATACCATGCACAGCATTTTAAAAACTAAGTGATATGTATTAAGTACTGCATCTATCTTCCCCTTGTTGCAAAATAAAACTATTAATATTTTATTTAAGCATTAAAATAAAACTTACTGGTGTTAAAGTCAGACCACTACCTTCTAAATGGAATAATATATTGCATACATTGCATAAGGCTTTGTCCCAGTGCGCTTTAACCAAAAAAACTTATCTCATTTTGGAAGTGACATGCGTGAACCATTTGAAGTATTCTCATTTTTAAAAGAAACCTAGGATGTGATTTTCTCCTGAATTGCTGGCAGCGAATGAGAGTGCAAGTGCTGAAAATACAGATTGTGTTTCAGTACACAGATAACTTACAAGTGCACACTACACAGTGGGAGTAAGCCATAATTTTTTTTACTGCCGGCAATTCCACTTTGGTTGTGATTATCCCTCCACATTAAATGTTCAAGTTGGAATCGCTTCCTGCTGTCTTCCTTTGTCAAATCTTGGCTTCTTGAACAGGACCGATATATTTTTCACAACTCTTCTACAGGGTTTAACTTAAATTGGAAGAATTAAGGAGCCTGATTAGAGAGAGTTCTTCCCCAAATTTAAATGTTACTGAGGGGTTAAATCAGTTTTCGAGAACCAAATACCTCTGAACATAAATCATACCTACTGATTATTTCCACTGTGCCTACAAAAAAAAGAGCTCAGGCACACTGAAGTCACTTGTCGCCTGTAAAATACAGTATTTTTAGATTATTGTGGAGATAAATTATCTGTAAATACATAAATAGCATATACCATCATCTCCCAAGATTGCCATTTGTTGCACATTTGCAGTGATTAACACAACATTAAATGGTACAGTTGTTCCTCCCAAGTCAAATAAAATCAATTTCCTGCTAAAAGATATAACCTCAGCTATAAAGGAAGGAAACTGAAAAATGCCGCATGCATATCTCTAGACATTGACTGCAGGAATGGCTGGCACAAAGAATGCGTACATGGGCAGGTAATTCAATGCTGCACAAACCAAATGTTGGACAGCCATAAACAAACATAAGAGAACTGTGTTCCTTTGATCTCTTTCCAATATCAACAGAATACACTTTATTAGAGTTCTGTTGGACTAAACTTCTCAATAGAGCTTTCAGAATCTTACCTCAACATTATCCTGACCTTTTTATTGTACCAGTGCCAAATCTCAGTATAATAATAATCCTTCCGTTTGATATAACGCCTTATCACAACTTTGAGGCATCTCAAAGCTTCACAGAATATACCTCAAAGTGTATAGACTGTATATCTTGTGGGCGAAACGCAGCAGCCAATTGCACACAGCAGTGTCCCACAAACAGTGATGGATTGAGTGACCAAATTCTTATTATTATTTTTTGAAGGGATTATTACCCCTGGAAATCAATCCGCCAATCGACTAACAACCGGGTTCCTACTTACTGCAAGATAAACAGAGGCATGTGGAGTAAGGAATCTTGCCTAAAGTTTCGCCCTGCCCGGGAATTAAACCCAGGTCCTCTCGCTTGCGAGATGAGCGCTCTAACCACTAAGCTACAGGACATGGTAGATTTTTGATATGTCCAAATGGCAATTTTCACCATAGTGAAGGGTGCTTTGATTTATTCCCCCATTTAGACAGCCAAGCATTCTACATTTTTTCCCTTGCATTTGATATAGCGCCTTTCACATCGGGATGACAGGATTTACTGTAAAGTGCAATGATTATGTATTGTATGCGAAGGGAAACCTCTGACTGTCCCATCCTGATTTGCAAATAAATCCTGTGAATTCTTTATTAAACTACATCAGCTTGATAAAGCCATCATGCGCAGGAAGAAAACAAAATGTGTCGCCTACTCAAAGAAAACGAAATTAGCTTCATCCAGTTGAGTGAGTTCATGTCACCTAAAGTATAGACAAAGCAACAAATCATTTCCAACTGAGAAATTCTGAGTAGGCTTCCTAACAGCCCAATGTCTAAAAGTACCACCTGCTGTTGCGCCAGATCAATATAAACCAAGAATGTCCCAATCTCTGGTCTGGGCATAAGTAAACTGAACTCAGCTGAGATAGTTTTGGAAGAGCTAGTTAGCATCAAGGATTAAGGCATTGACAATAAAATGATCTTCATTAACAACCCCGGAGTCCTATAGATTAGTGGTTAGAGCACTATGCGAGAGGACCTGAGTGTGATTCCTGGCAGGGCGATGCATTGGGCAAGTTCCCTTACTCCACACGCCTCTGTTTACCTAACAGTAAGTAGGAACCCGGCTGTTAAGTCGATTGATGGATCGCTTTTCCTTGGATAATAATTCCTTTTTAAAAAAAAATGATCACTCAATCCATCACTGTTTGTGGGACATTGCTGTTTGCAGTTGGCTGCTGTGTTTCGCCCATAAAATATACAGTCATAATTATTATTATTAAGGTGATGACAGTAAAATGTTCTTCATTAAGTGACACTTTCTGCAAAGTAAGAAGACGAGATTGGGTTTGGCTCTGGCCCTCCCCTCCCTGCCAATGAAGTGACTGGCTGATGTTTGCCATTTAGCGTCATTTTTGAAAAATGGCAACTTAAGTGATTGAACCAGAGATTTTTAAAGTCCTTGTAGAACTGTATCCCAGTGAGTTGCCATATAGAAGAGCAGTAGCAGAAATGGCCACTGATATTCCAAACAAACTTACTCTCCACTATTTTTGGTTTTAAAAAGTCCTCTTTAAAGGTTGTAAATTGCTCCACGGTCTGGTGCTCGCCTATCCCTGAGACCTCCTTCAACCCAACCAGCCCAGCCTCTCACTTCACTCAGCAAGCCTGCTCGATGGCCCCCGCCCTCTCTGCACACCATTGGCGGGTGGGCTTTCAGACATTCTGCCCCCACTTTGTGGAACTCCATCCTGAGTCCCTCCAACTTGCTCCCTCCCTCCCTTTCAAGTACATCTGAAAATGTATCTCTTTGACCACACTTTCACTACCCCAACCCCTGCAGCTCCCATCCCCAGTTCGGATGCCCATTCTGCACTGTTAATGTGCTTTTCTCAACAAGAAAAGGTGCGCTTTATAAATGTAAATTATATTTAGGGCTTCTGATTGGGGAATGGGGAGTTATTAGAGTGTTTATAAATCGGGAGGTTTCACTTGCCTGTACATACAGAACAGAGAGAGGGGTCCTCACACATGATCAGTGCCTCTCCCTCCTCTTACAAATGTTTCACCAGAAGCACCTTCACACGTGGAGGAAAGGGAAAGGTGGAGAGCAACGGACGGACAGTTAGCACACCCGGACACTGCCAAGAGCCAGCGAGACAGAGAAAACCTCACCTTTCAGTTGAGTAACTTTCCGGTTACTTACGGTGCTTTCCAGTATTTATTGGATAAACACTAATTTCATGTTTTTTGTATGGGGATGTTTTATCAGGATTTATCATTTAAAGGGTTTAAGCGCTCCGAGATTTCTGCTACCACTCCCGATGTGAAGGGCGCTATATAAATACAAGTTGTTGTTAAAACCGAAAATCAGAAACCCTAAGTGTATTGTATATTTTCAGAAATTACATTTTATCCACAGATCATTCCATTCATCCATATATAAATATGGCAATGATTATCATTATTATCAATACCAAACATTTTAGCTACACACCAGAATTTCTGCTTTTGTTATGTTGGAGGGTTTCACTATTCTCTTATTCGCAAATGCCCTTGGATCTGACGATACGATTTTGCTGAAAGCTGAGAACAGGTACATAAAATGGAGAAGCATTTTTTTCCAAAAAAACATTTTCTTTTAAGCTGGTGATAGGAGCTTGTACCCTGCCCCAAGAGATTTGATCAAACGTACCTGGGAGAAAGTCGGAGTCTGCTCCAATGTTCAGATACTAACACACACTCAGTGTCATTCATCAGACTATATATGTGGAATACTTAAATGCCTCCAGGTCAGCCTCTTACATCAGATATAAAGCATTAAAGAAAACACATATATACTGATCCACTTAGCAGAATCTTTGCCAGTGTGGAACCTCCCATCTAGTCACTGTATGAGGCAAAGTCCACATACTAAAATTTATTGTGGAACATGTAAGAAAGCTGCAATGTTTAAGAATTTGTGAACTTAGCCACTTTGCTCCACGAGTCAAGTGACTTTCGGTGTCCTCTTCGACCCATACTAAGCTGATCCACCCAGAAGCATTATGAAGCCTATGGATATTTGTGCAATATATATTTACAAAAACTTGTACAATGAGGACACAAGCAACAAGGCAACTACGGTACTGCAGCTATTGGCAATGTCAACAGATGCTAAAAAAAATTCAAACATGTTGCCACAAGGAGGATTCAATTTGATCAGCAATTTTTATTTATCATTTAGAAATTTGGATTGTAATTGTTTTAAATTTCTTTTTATTCACATTTTAGTTACAAATTGTTCATTTATTGTAACAATATTGTCCAAAATGCATGCTTCTTTGGTTTCTTTTGATCAATGACTTGCATCAAATTTAACTTATATACTGTAAGCAAGATATTACAGTGGTTATGAGATACAAAGACAGACGGACAGGCGGGAGTGAGTGCTGGTAGTAGAGAATCCTTACGAGTCTCACTTGAACAAGTCACCAAAAGCACACTGACATATTAGAAGCTTCAACTATTACTACTGTTCTCACAACAAAAGAACACAATAAGTACACAACAGAGGATTAAGCCATCCTTGCGCTTACGCATTATTTACCTTTTGCCCTGCAATCATCACTCTCTCTCCCAGCTTGAGCCCCAGTGACATCAGTAGTGCCTTCCCTGAGATGTGATCATAGTTTGTCAACAGGGCCATCGATATGTCGCACTCCAGAGGTAATTCATCCAAAAGCAGCTGCTTCAGTTCTTTAGCAACTGCAGCCGCATCTGCCATCTCTAGTGGCATATCCAGTGGATCAGGAACAATATCAGCCGGCAACTGCCCTTTGTCGTTCTGTCAAGAGAAGAGCCCGGGATTATGAATATTTGCTGCTATAAAATCTTGTGCGAGTTTTCCTTTTGAGTACTGAATTCCCTTTACAAGCCTGAAAATCACAGGCACAGTCTCTGAGCTTGAATTCATAAGAACAAAAGTGAAGCCAGGGATTGGAAAAGGCCATTTGGCTCAGTCACCCCAGTTCAACTATTTTTAGAGAAATCTTATGGGTCCCACTTGAACAAGTCAACAAAAGCACACTTTGACATATTGATAGCTTCAACTATTACTATACTGAATACTTGCTCGATCTCTAGATGAGTCACTAGCTAATGTTCTTTTACACTTAAAATATAAGTGATTCATTTAATCCTGACAGTAGTCCCTACAATAAGGAGTTGCAGGCAGGGCTGTGCATCAGAAATTCGATTCCCAGGCAGGGCGAAACGTTGGCCAAGTTTGCTTACTCCACACGCCTCTTGTTTACCTAGCAGTAAGTAGGAGCCTGGGTGTTAGTTGATTGGCAGATCGTTTTTCTGGGGGTAATAATCCCTTAAAAAAAAAAAATTTGGTCACTCAATCCACGACTGGTTGTGGGACACAGTTGTGCACAACTGGCTGCCAAGTTTCGCCCACAAGATATTCAGTCAATAGACTTTACAGTATATTCTATGAAGCGCTTTGAGCCGTATCAAATGCAAGGATGATTATTAAACATAAAGCATTCCCATCTAGAGATTATGAAAAGGTTTTGCTAGTTACTAATATCAATTTGTGTAGACAGCTTTGCCTCTTCTGAAGACCTGTCTTATTTTGGGTTCTGAAACCACTACAATGACATAGGTCAGAAGTGCAGCCCAAGGGTTTACCCAAGAGTAAGCTAGGTGACAGATCTCAACACTGGAGAATTAACCCTCATGCGATTTTAAGTGCCGACTTTGAATAAGGAAGGGAGACAGGCAAAATGAGCAACTATGAAAGTAAAGTAATGAGGACGAGCAACAGTGATCAAAGGAAAAGAACTGCAGGAAAGAATAAGGGAGGGGAGAAGAGAGAAAAATCAACAAAATGGACGAGAACAAGCAAGTGTAGAAAAAAAGAGAAAAATGTGAAAGACAAAGAGGGAGAAGAAAAAAAAATCGTTGGGCAGCATCATGGCCATGAGGAGGTTGCCCATGAAACAGCCTTATCAGTTCCAAAGCACTTGCTATAAACCTGGATTATCATCCACACATTTTAATTGCAAACTTTAATGGATTGCTGCTTTAAAAAATTGATATTCTAAACACTGAACTGTTCTTCGCTTAAGTCAAGTACTTAGATTGTTTTCTAATGAAAGAAAATTAGATTCTACAATGCATTTTGTGCAGCACATGCTGTGCAGTGGAATACGCTTAACCTTTAGCTGGCTGAAAACCAACCTGAATACAGTAGCATTCGGAGTATAGCAGATTCGGGGCTAATTAAACCATTCCCATTCTCCTCGTTTACACAAATGTTAATCCAACTTTTATTTCTGCTGTGTGATCCAAAGACCTTCAAACCAGCTCAGCAACAAAGATGCACAAGATCAACTACTCAATTGCCTCAGCATCTGTGCAGTTGATCTTATGCATCTTTGTATTGTAGAATCTAATTTTCTCACCATACTTCAGTAATATTGTACTGTTGGGAATAGAATGGCAGAAACACCACCGTCGATAGCTTGTGTTTCAAAGGAGTATGACTGTATTTACAATGCAACTTATTTAGAAACCATTAGAAACCTAAAATGTAATATGTAATGTAATTAATACTTTTTTTTCAAAAAAATGCGGGAGAAGGTTAAAAGGTCTGTCATCCAGACCAGAATAAAGCTCGTTCAGTTGCCGCTCAGTGCTGAGCTAGTTGGTCATTTTCAGTCATGGTAGCTGTTTGGGTGAGGCAAGCAAATCCTTTGTGCCCCTGGGCTAAAGAGAATCAGCCTGTATTCCTGCTTCTGCTGGTTACCCAGTGAATCCTGACAGAAAGTGCAGATATGGGTTAGCAGAAGATTTGTTGTAGCTGTACTTCACAGTTGGAGAGGCAGCCAACATACTGTCACACCAAAAAAACACAATTTGTAAATAGCATTGAAGGGCCCGATGAACCACAAGCCTGGGATGAGTCAGAAGATAAGAATTTAAGAATTGGATCAAAAGGTTGTTATGGTGTTGGATAAATATGCTGTTAGAAATGGGAAAGTTCCAAGAACAAGTTGGGATCAAATAGGCTATGGGAATGATGGTATCTCAGCTGTTAAGACAATCGAAATGTCATGGCAAGAAAATAATGCAATAAAGAAAATAAAAAAGAGGAAAATAAGTCAAGAATGCATAGATGGATACGAGGTTAGAGGCACTGTGTCACAGGACAGTGAGATGCATTTCATATCCACGGTTCGATTATTCAATACAATTGCTAGTTTAAACTGTACTTATGTGAGAGAAGCACCAAGTAGAGGTCAAATGCTTCTCCACATCAGAGGGAGAGGTATCATCTGAGCTCTCACGCTCCTACTGAACAAATCAAGAGCGAATGAGCAGTGGTCTAAGAACTCATGGGTGGAGTAAAGGAAACCTGAGAATGCCAGGGAAAAATTATATTTTACAAAAGGACTTTAAAAAAGGGAGTTTCACATATTTCATCCATCCCCATTCTTCCATGAATTGTGACTGGTTGTATAATTTAATGCAACATGTTGCTTGATGTCATTTAAAATTAATTAAAACAACTTAATGAGACCGGAGCTGGAGTTTTTGCCCAGTGTCTTTAACAGAATACTGCTCACAGAAAGCTTACACGGTGCAGAGGTAAAAAAAAACACAACCCTTTCTGTAGAGAGGCTTAGCTACATGGTGCAGTTTTATGATTCACCCTCAGCTTACAAATGAGGCACCTTAACCTTTGGGTATTAAATTTGTTCTGCAGCTTAGTGGACCACAAATTCATTTTACTCATAACCCATAAGAGATGTGCAATAGAGATTTGTTTTCCCCTGTTATTTTTCGTTTTCAACTTCTCCTTTCTTTACACTTGCTGCAGGTGAACCCAACTTCATGACTGAATGAAAAGAAAACATGATCCAGCTTGCAGGTTGTTTTCGTTACACTGAGAGCACAAATTTCACCGAGCACAGTATTGGTGTCTTATGTCAATCGCGACTGCTTCCATCCATTTAATGGAGAGTTATTTACTGCAATCGCAGTCCAAAGTAAAAAGCTTTTTCCATGCTACATAGACAGTGAGGCACAAAAGTTCCATCGGGCTAGTATAGGGAACCACAGTATAATGTGGTCACTGGGATCCAGATAATTCGTGACAAGGGAGCTAATCAACTGCCTCCAGGCAGCAATTTTGCGTTGAAGCCAGAGCTCAGCCAAGATATATTTACTGCTCACACTATTCTCTCAATGTACAATCTAATCTATTAGAGTGAGTAGGTTAGGATGACTAATCCAGCAATGCGCAATGTAACCTTGTTGACAAGATGGAAGCCATCCTCCTTGGCTCCCGTCAATGTCTTCTCATTTGCAGGTCCAACTTCCTTAACCTGCCACCCTATCCCTCAGACTCACTGAACCTGCACACAACCTAAGCATCAGGTTCAATGGCCACATTTCCTACCTACCCCAAATCGGATCCCTGACTACCTCCTCGGCTTTCCTCCACCTCCGCCACATTGCCTGCCTCCTACCATACCTAACACCTACTGCAGCTGAAACAATTATTCCTGCTTTTATCACCTCCTACTCCAAATTATCAAATGATCTCCTTGCCGATCTCCCCAGTTCTAACCCACAAAATCCAACTGATCCTAAACTTCACTGCCCATATTCTCAACCTTACCAAACTCCACAATGCCATCACTTCAGTCGTTGCCAGAGTCACTGGCTCTCTTTTTCAGAACTTGATTGATTTCAAGGACCTCATACTTTCATACAAATCAATCTGTAACCTAACACCACCCTACCTCTCTGACCTGTTTACCCTCCACACCTCTATCTGCCCCCTTCTTTTAGCTCCTGCCTTCTATATGTCCTTCATCCACTCTGCTCCACCTTCAGGGGCCGTGCTTTTAACCACTACACACTGAAATTCTCTGCTTGAATCCCTTCGCCTTGCCCGCTTCTTGCTCATCTTCAGATTGTATCTGAAGACCTTTCTCTTTGTCCGTGCCTATGGTCATCTCCCCTCTCTCCCTGGATCGATATCATGCTTTGCCACTGTTAAGCACTCCGAAGCACTACCCAAATGAAGGGTGGTATATAAATGCAAGCTGCTGTTCTTGTAACCTACTAATCTGATGGGTTACTAAAAATGGTTAGACCAGTTTTAGACTAGCAATTTTGAGGGGTACGAGGGCTGAGCTAAGTGCCGTAGAATGGAAAGCATTACTCAAGGATAAATCAGTTGTATATAACTGGATATTGTTTAAAATACTTGACAGAGATTAGAGGACAAGCACACACTGAAATGTAGCAGTATATTAAACAGAAATGGATCAACAAAAAAATAAAGTTACGATCATTGAAAAAAAAAGGTAATTTACAAAGCTTGTTTGGGGAAATGAGTGGGCGACCACTGGGCTGAATACAAGACTATACAGAAAGAATGATTGGAGAGCCACGAAAGAACTGGAGTCTATTCTGTCATGGCTCAAAAGCAACCCATAACAATCCAAAATTCTTCAAGAATCATAACAAGAGGTTCGTCAGAGGAAAAATTACAGCCTTAAAGCACTCAGGGGTTGAAAAAAAGAATGCACAAGAGATAGAAAAGGACTAGTCCCTGGAGGCTTTTTATACCATGTTCCTCCAACATCCATCAAACATTGTTTGGGTTACAAAACTTTATCGTTAGTATGAGATTCCAGAATGAGGATCAAGGATAAATAACAAATAACAAATCACCCGGGGATAACAATAATAATAAACATTGGATTTGATATAGCGCCTTATCACGTCTTTGGGACGTCTCAAAGCGCTTCACAGAATATACTGTGAACCAACAAGATTACATTTGTATAGCGCCTTTCACGTCGGGAGGACGTCCCAAGGCGCTGGACAGTGTACAGCATTTCAACAACATCTTGGATTTATATAGCGCCCTCCACGCAGGACGGCGTCTCAGAGCGCTTCACAGTAACGGATCCCGGGGCCGAGCCAGGGGGAGGGGGAGGAAAGTGATCAAAGGCGCAGTTGAAAAGAAAGGTCTTCAGCCGAGACCTGAAAGTGGGAAGGGAGGGGGCGAGGCGAAGGGAGTGAGGAAGGGAGTTCCAGAGCCTCGGGGCATAGTGGCTGTAGGCACGACCGCCGATAGTGGAGTGAAGGATTTGGGGGACAAGGAGGAGGCCAGACCCGGAGGAACAAAGGCAACGGGCACTGTTGTGAGGAGAGAAGTCAGAGAGATAGGGAGGTGCAGAGGAGTGGAGGGATTTGAAGACAAGGGTGAGGATCTTGAAGTCGATCCTCTCTGGGACAGGCAGCCAGTGCAGTCTGGCAAGGACTGGGGTAATCGGGGAGCGGAGTTTGGTCCGGGTAAGAATGCGGGCGGCAGAGTTTAGTATGACCTGGATTTTATGAATGGCGGTGGAGGGGAGACCGGCGAGGAGGGCGTTTGAATAGTCCAGCCGAGAGGTGACAAAGGCAAAGGTAACAAATTTTAGACCCGAGCTCGGGTCAGGGAGGGAGAAGGGAGGGGAAGGGTAAAATGAATTGACTGTACATTTTGTGAGCGTAACGCAGCAGCCAATTGCACACAGCAGCGTCCCACAAGTAGTCGTGGGTTGAGTGGTCAAATTATTTTTTTGTTTGTTTGTTTCGAAGTAATTATTATCCCCGGAAAAGCGATCCGCCATCAACTGACAACCAGGTTCCTACTTACTGCTAGGTGAACAGAGGTGTGTGGAGTAAAGAAACTTGCCCAACATTTCGCCCTGCCCAGGAATCAAACCCACTGATAAACTGTACTTCAGGGGATTATCCAGAGAAACAAGGCAGGACTGACGGCACTGACAAAAATGATGAAGAAGACAATCTTTGAAACGTCCCAACGACGTGATAAGGCACTATATCAAATGCAAAGATTATTATTATTATTAATCACCACTGGCAAAGTTCCAACAGACTGAAAGCAAGGAAAGGAGGTTGCCATATTCAGGAAAGTTGTTAGAGCCATACCTTGTAACTACAGACACAATAGCATGATCTCAATTGGAGAAAATATTTTTTATACAGGTTTTAAAACTAATGGAACAGAGATGTAAAATTCCACAAGTTTGAGGTGTGTGTGTGGGGTGGGGGGGGAGGGAGGGGGTGGAAGCGGGGAGAAGATCAGTTAGATTGAAATTAAAAAAAAGCACAAGAGATGTTTAGATGAAATCCGTTTGGCCTATTGCCACGACTGTTTGTGGGACACTGCTGTGCGCAATTGGCTGCTGTGTTTCGCCCACGAAATACAGTTAATTCACTTTACAGTATGTTCTGTGAAGCGCTTTGAGACGTCTCGAAGACATGATAAGGCGCTACATCAAATGCAAGGATTATTAAGGCTCGATTACGGGAACTCCCTCATCGGCCTTCCCAACTCTTCCCTTCACAAGCTGCAGATTATCCGTGACCCCATCACTCCCACCCTCACCCGACTCCACTGGCTCCCCATCCTCCAGAGGATCGAGTTCAAGATCCTCATCCTCACCCTTAATGCCATCCATGGCCTTGCCCCCTCCTACCTCTCTGACCTGCTGACTCCCTACCAACGTGCCTACTCCCTCCGTTCAGTGGGCTCCAGTCTGCTCCATCTCTCCCGCCCGACCATTGGTGGCCGGGCTTTCAGCCTCTCTGTCCCCATACTCTGGAACTCCATCCCACGGTCGCTTTGCCTCGCTTCACCCTTGCCTCCTTCAAGGCCGGTCTCAAGACCCTTCTCTTCGACCGTGCTTTTGGTCTCCCTCCCACCTCTCTGCCTTCCCTCACCACTACCCCACCCTCCCCCATGCTTGGGCCCTGACTGTTCAGCGCTTTGGGACATCCTCCCGACGTGAAAGGCGCTCTATAAATGTCATTTTGTTGTTGTTGTATTTGATCTCATCCTTCCAGAATGCCTACCTTAATTACCCTTACCATCCTCCCATCACAGAATCAAGCTGTTTACTTTCTCAATCCCATTTAAAAACTTGTACTTTTCTATAAAGTCTTCTCTTTATAATAATATAATAATACAATAATAATAAAATAATAATTCTTCTCTTTATAGATATCTTCGAATATCTCAATGCAGACCACTGCCACTAAGATCTGTGTAGTGAACTGAATCCTAAAGTAATCAAGAACGGTATATTTTTTTTAAGGAACTAACTGTTTTAGCTTTTCCAAGCTCATCGAGGACCTCCAGTGACACAAACCTGGTATTGTAACAATAATAATCCTTGCATTTGATACGGCGCCTTATCACGTTGTCGAGACGTCTCAAAGCGCTTCACAGAATATACTGTAAAGTGAATTGACTGTATATTTTGTGGGTGAAATGAGGCAGCCAATTGCGCACAGCGGCGTCCCACAAACAGTCGTGAATTGAGGGATCATTACCCCCGGAAAAGCGATTCGCCAATCGACTAACACCCAGGTTCCTACTTACTGTTAGCTAAGCAGAGGCGTGTGGAGTAAGGAAATGTCGCCTAAAGTTTCGCCCTGCCTGGGAATCAAACCCAGGTCCTCTCGCTTGCAAGGCGACCATCGACTGAGCATTACACCACAAAGTATGAATGTTTTGAATTAGTGCAATCAAAATTTCTGACTCAAGTACGGAAGTATACCTCAAGCATTTTATCATTTGTACTCTGAAGCAGGTTAATTCTAAGCATACCTTTTATATGCAAATATAATGAGCATCTATACAGGAATTATTATTTCTCAGCGGATTCCCAGTGAAGAACAAGGAATCAGTAGTATTTAGGGCAACATCTCAAAGTATGTAACGGATCGTTTCTATTATGTGTAGGTACTAAGACTATAGGCAAATGGTTATGTGAATTGGCATCAGTTTGCTTCAGTTGTGATAGCACTCTCGAATCTATGTTAGACTTTTGAGGGCTCAAGCACCACATTCAATGACTGTAGTCTTCATTTCAGACTTTCTGAATATACAGTCAATACACTTTACAGCACACCCTGTGAAGCACTTTGAGACATTTCAAAGACGTGATAAGGAGCTATATCAAATGCAAGGATTATTATTACTACCAAACTAACCGTCTTTGCCCTAAAAGTCAGAGCTCTGAGCTTCACTACTCTTTCTGATAATCTGTTTCAGCTGTCAATTAGTTTGTGTCTGTAATATAATCCATGTCTGACACTCTAGTGCAGTAACAAGGGAGAGGACGTTAAAGATCCCATGGTTTTATTTTGAAAACAAGCAGGGAGTCTTTGCCAATATTGTTTAACTCTCAACTGTTTGTTTGACCCTCAACTGTCCTTTCTACCCAATATGCATGCCATAACCCTCTCCCTTCCCCCACCTCTGCAACATTGCCCGGCTCTGCCTCAGCCTCACCGCTCAGGCCGCGAAAACCCTCATCCACGCATTCATCACATCTACACAGATCCACAAATATACAGTCAATTCACTTTACAGTGTGTTCTGTGAAGCGCTTTGGGACGTCCTCCCGACGTGAAAAGCGCTATATCAAATGCAAGGATTATTATTATTATCTAGGCTCGACTCCACCAACTCCCTCGTTGTCGGCCTTCGCAACTCTTCCCTTCCCAAGCTGCAGATCGCTCAGAACTCTGCAGCTCGTGTCCTCTCATCTCCACCCTTGCCTAGCTCCACTGGCTCCAATTACCATTTACTGAGTTATCACTTTTTGCCGAAGCCAGGAAGGCCTCGTATAAGATAAAAGGTAAAAAATCCGCCTCAGTGCAAGTCTGGGTTAGGAAATACATACGCAATAGGCTCGTACTGCTCAATATGGTTCTGGGCTGAAGGAATAGATGATGCAGTGTGTTGGGACTCATTTAAAATCAAGCCCAGATGTAGGCAATGATAATGTCCTCATTGAGGATTTCTAGGAAACTGAGTTGTAACAGCTATGACAAAGGCAGACAGGAGTTAGCACATGGCTGTTCTCAATTCATTTAACGCAAATTTTACAATTATGTTCAGAGAGAGATAAAAACAACAGAAATGTAATTAAGAATAGAATTTTTCGTTTTGGTCGTTTTGGAAATAATCCTTCAATTTCTTAATCCGTAAAAAATGATCGGCTACCTGCCATCAGAAAAACTGGGAACAGTGACAGAGACACAAAGCGCTGAACTTGAGACTCCTTTCTGTACAGAATTGGTTTATTTCTGCTCTCCAGATAACTTTCCTAATTTCATGTAAAAAATTATTTTGTAGGTGTTCATCCACAAAATACAGTCACTCCACAATACACTAATCCTGTAAAGTGCTTTGATATGGCCTGATGTGAAAGGTGATATCAAATGCAATAATTATTATTAGTTAAAGATGTACATAACTCACAAAGACCTCACACATTTGTAACCCTGTACCTTCGCAGAGTTTCAAACAGCTTCAGCCTAAATTTACACTTGTTTTATCACGTTGTGTATCTAATATATTTTTAATTAGCCATCTAGTTTCAAATTCAAATTCTGACTACAACTTGTAAGTATAACATTTTAAGTCAGAGGCATTTTATTCAGAGGTCAAAGCTTGCAGATTGGTGAATAGTGCGACAAAGAAAACTAAATGGAAGATAAATCCTAGGCGGTTTAAAGAGGAGTTTCTTTGAACAGCAGAAAACAATTTCACGCTGGGTTTCTTACCTTAAAGACAGGATTGGCTCCGTGTTCTAATAAAGATTTCACAGCTGACAAACAGAGGTTTGATGCTGCAATGTGCAGGGAAGTTCCAAAGCTGAAATCACTGCAGGTAGCATCCACCTCTGTAAACAGGAAAAGAATAGACGCAATTTCTGAAATTAATTATCAATGTATGAGTTTTTGTCAGATGTCGCACTCCAAAGTAGAAGACACAAGTTTCGTATTCAGTTCTGTTGGATCACTGATAGTCCATGAAATTACATTTAGCAGTTCCAAATGAAGGAAAATTTGAGACTTTCTGATATTAGGGTTACATTTATGAAGCGCAATTTGTGATTATTACATGCTTTCAATGGAAAGTACAGTAAACCTCACACAAGTCATATCAGTTGGGTCCATATATTTAATATGACTTAGGCAAAGTACTCCTACTTACTGCTAGGTAAACAGAGGTGTGTGGAGTAAGGAAACTTGCCCAACGTTTCGCCCGAACCCAGGTCCTCTCGCTTGTGAGGCGAGTGCTCTAACCACTAACCTACAGGACTCCACAGTACTGCACAGATATGCAGTACTGCACAGTACCACAAGGTAATAATTCAGTCTGTGGCTTCAAATCAAATTTTGAAGCAATGGCCCTTTTTCATTTCAGGATTTGCCTTGCAAAACTGGAGAATCTGGTATTTCTGATACTTCCTTGTGACTAATTTGTGTTTAGTTGGGGAACCTGCATTACCTGATGCCATGATGGCTGGTCAAAACCTCTTCTTCTGTACTTGTTCACTGTTCTGTACTGCACATGGGGTCCTTCGCTATAACAGCCGGTAAGTGCACTTGACAGGTCGGGACTTAGGCTCTCATGATCGTCTCACATGGAGCATTATGTATCTGCTTCAAGACCGGTAAGTCCGCATGCGATGAAGAGCCCTCTTCGCATGATCAAGTATTCCTTGCCCCCTTATTCACCACATGATCAGGTGACGTTCTTTCAACTCTTAGCCCTCCCTCCCTGCAAGCTGACTCTCCAATGCAGACCTGGTGTGTGCTGCATTGTTGGAGACACCGTACTTTCAGATGAGCCATTAAACTGACATCCTGTCTGCCTGTTCAGGAAGATGTTAAACATTCAGTCGTACTATTTCTTTCGCTCAGTGTCCTGGCCAACAATCTCCCAGTTAAAATTGGTCATTCACATCATGGCTGTTTTGGGGATACTGAAATTGGCTGCCACATTCGCTTATAAAATACAGCCATTACACTTTACCGAAAGATTCCTGAAGTGCTTTGAGACATCCTCCAGATGTGAAAGGAGCTATACACCAAATGCAAATAAAATGCGAATAAAAGTCAAATCAAGATCTGCGTCTTTGCCACCCTACTGCATACAAGGTATTGTTTCTTTGCCTGAAAGAAAGAGGAAATTGGAACCTTTTGGGGGGAGAAAAGAGGTACTGTACTTACCTCCAGGCTTAGCACCTTTCAGAACAACTCTGATCAATTCAGGGACATCAAAGTAAGCTGCGTAGTGCAAGGCATTCATGTTTGTCCAGCAGCTACGGAGAGTCACATCAGCTCCCATGTCTATGAGCTGAGCAGCAAACTTGGCTGCAATCTCGGCATCTCCTGCAAATAGAGATGAACATTTTAGAACAAGCATTCTTGAGTAGTACGACACAGTGGAAGTGACAAGCTGAGTGCTACGTGACACAAAATACACCATTAATTTGTTTTGCCTGTTGTTTAACATTAAGCAGAAATTGTTCGTTCAGTTCAGTTGATCTTTGCAATATTGTGCCACTAGCTTTGAAACGCATTTAGAAGTTTTTCTCTTAAATGGCAATTATCTAACTCTTGAATGAACATCAAGGCTTTATGCACTAGTTCCCCAATAGTCTAGAGGCTCAAAATAGAGCTCAGAATAACATGAAGCTATAATATCTAAGAAGTTGCAGGTTTAATTCCTAATCTGTGCTGAACCAGCTAATCTCAAAATCTGTTGTAATCCAGGGATCGAATATTTCACTTGCTGTACGTTTCATGACATACAGTTGCTCCCCTGAAGGTCTAGTGGGTAAAAGCACACACAAGCAAACACTAAGCCATACAGTCTGGAAGATATTGGTGTGAATCACGGTCTAAGGCGAACAATTTCATTGGGGAACAATTTAACAATTTCTCAGTGACTTCAGCAAGTTCATAGTTGAACACCAGGGGAACCCATTCCACACTACAGCTGCACTTCTCTGTAAAGTTCTGTAGCAGCTACTGAAAATCACAGTGTCATGTGCAGTTTTAACAATCTGCTTTGCAGTCACCAGAGCTGGATGCAGTGCTCTAGATACAATCTCACCATCTGGGGACCTCAACTCAAGTGATTTAGCAATACAGCCCAGTGACCTGTTCACCTTATTTATTGCTGCCTAATACATTGGTCACTTACAGCTAACAGAACAGGTGCTTGTAATACTACAATATAACTGGTCCAAGCACTCAAAGGTCTGATGCATTACTTACGCTAACTTGTTTTCCTTGCAAAGCTGGCTACACTGAAAGAGAAGAACCTGCAGGTTAACTTTCCTATTTTTTTCTGCACAACACATTTTCACACAAGAAGTGACAGACATAGATATTGTCTATCTCCACACATGAAGAGAATTAGTGGAATTCCCAGTTTATTCCAAGTAATATATAAATAGAAACTAATTGTGTGCATCAAAAGCTTTTTTTAAACATGTATATTGTGTTTGGACTTCTTTAATACTGCTCCATTACTTCATACACCACCAGGAGAGTACCATATCAACCTGCCTGCTCCACCCATTTCAGCCTGTTCCACGTACCCCGCTCAACCCACCCCACCATCTGCGGTCAGGCTTTCAGCCTCTCTTCCCCCACCCTCTGGAACTTCATCCCAGCCCCTTCGCCCCCTCACTTACCTCCTTCAAGTCCCGTCACAAGACCCTCCTCTTCGACCGTGCCTTTGGTCACCCTCCTACCTCTATCCTTCCTGAATTATACCTAGTACATTATTTTGAAAGGCACCAATGCACATTTAATTTTTAGTTAATGGGGTAAAATTGCCTTTCCCCATTTTGGGCTATCCTTACTTTTTCAAATATTGTGGGAATCTTGTAAGCATCTTTACTGTTTTTTGAACGAACAGCTGGGGTCTTATTTATGCAAAGGCAGAATATGATGCATTTGCAGTTGATGGCGAATATTCATACTTGGTAAGCCAATTAGGTCAACATCTATAACCTTCAGTGGTGCTATTTAATTGCATTATAGTACGATATTCAGTGTTGCTAAGCAAATAATTCAATAATCGTAGGTCAATATCACCACAGTACTTCCCTGTTCAAGGAGCAGGCTATGTGTGGACACATAACACTTAATAGATACTTACCCACAGAATTCACATTTTTTTTTAAAAAGGCCTAAAATTAATGTCTTATTTATATGATTTGATGGTAGCTATTTCCAACCGCCTTTACTGATCACACCAAAACAGAATTTTAAAAAAATGTATACAGTGTTATCAAAATTTATTGTTGACTGTTCATTTTTCCTCCCCCCCCCCTCTCTCCTCCTACTTAGGTAACATCCCTATATGTCAGTGTGCCATCATTGGAATTGGTTTATAAAGAATGAGTTCTATTTCAAAAACGGGATGCATATGTTTGGTGCCTGCAAACACTTGGATTGTTGGGGTGTGTTGTAATAATAATCCTTGCATTTGATATAGCGCCTTATCATGTCTTTGAGACATCTCAAAGTATACTATAAAGTAAATTCACCATATATTTTGTGGGCGAAACATGGCAGCCAATTGCACACAGCTGTGTCCCACAAACGGCCCACAAAATATACAGTGATCCCGATTAACAGTATATTCTGTGGAGCACTTTGAGACGTCTCAAAGACATGTTAAGGCGTTATATCAAATGCAAGGCTTATTACTATGATGAACTCCAGGGAATACAAACCAAGTTTATGCAACCTGATGGATCTGTCAGTACCCCATCCAAGGCCCAAACTAAATGTCAGTACCCCATCCAAGACCCATACTCCAGATGCAGTCTAAACAAGGCGCTGTACAACTGAAGCATCACTTCCTCGCTTTTGTATTCCAATCCCCTTGAGATAAAGGCCAACACTCCATTAGCCTTTCTGATTGTTTTTGCACCTGTGTACGAGCTTTTATCTATCTGTGTACTTGGACTCCTAAATCCCTTTGCTCCACCACAGCTCCTCGTCCTTGCCTGCTAAAGAAATATTCTGATCTGTCCTTCTTGGATTGAAAGTGGTTGACCTCAGACCCACTTCACATGGAAATCCCAGTGATAGACTGTTGGAATGGAACTCTCTCCCTGGAGGGATGCTGCTTACCTAATTCCGGACAATTTAAGGCGCAAGTGGGCAAGAGCCCAGGCTTGGGGTATGAATATGCAATGGGGTAACTGCTGGAGTCTAACCAGCTGAAACTGCATAGCTTGTCATTGATATTGCTTGTCCAGCTACGACCACTCTAACTGTTAGGGCTTTGATGGCTCAGAAGATTCCCCACCCCGAGTGACGAGTCTGCCCTTCCAGGTCCAGCTGATGAGCCATGGTGGCTGAGTGGTCATCAGCAGTGCCCTGGAATACTGCAGACCCGCCCAAATCAGGAACCGGACTATTGAGACCGACACAGAGGGCTGGCTCCATTCTGATATTTCATTGCTAAACCAGTTACCTTGGAGTCAGTTCAGCTTGAAGGAGACCCCATTTAACTCCCCCCTAAATGGAGGATAGGATAGTCTGACAAACGCTGATTTGATTTAACGGAATAAGTTTTGTACAATACCATATATTATCACAAACGTATCTCTTGCATATACATTCTGGATAAATAAAACCAAGATTAATTGTATGTTCTGCATCTCTGTCAGGGTTGTAATCTACATGCTCCCCCTCGGTGACATCATCTGCAGACATGGGGCCAACTTCCACATGTATGCGGATGACACCGTACTCTATCTTTCTGCCTCCACCCTCAACCCCAGGACTACTGCTGTCCTGACAGACTGCCGTCGGACATCAAGTCCTGGATGAAGGCAAATTTCGTACAGTTGAATGTGAACAAGACTGAAGCCCTCCTGATTGGCTCTCGCCAGCGCCTCTGTACCTCAGGCTCTGGCAGCATCAACCTCCATGGTTGCACACAACAACTCACCAGCCAGTCAGGAACCTCGGGGTCTTGTTCAACCCTCAACTGTCTTTTCACCCCCACATTCAAGCCATGACCCGCTCTCCTTCCTTCTTCCCTCACCTCCGTAACATCGCCCAACTCTGCCACTCCATCCTTCAGGCCGCTGAAGCTCTCGTTCATTGCCTTCATCACCTCCAGGCTCGACTATGCAAACGCTCTGCTTGTCGGCCTTCCCAACTCCTCCCTCCACAGACTGCAGATAATCCAGAACTCTGCAGCCGTGTCCTCTCCTGCACCAAACTCTGTGACCCCATCTCCCCCATTCTCACCCGACTCCACTGGCTCCCTATCCTTCAGAGGAACCAGTTCAAGATCCTGGTCCTCAACTACAAAGCCCTCCATGGCCTCGCCCCACCCTACCTCTGCGACATCTTCTCAGCCGGCTCTGGCCGGCTCCACATCCCCCGACCCATCTACCCCACCATTGGTGGGAGAGCCTTCAGCCACTCTGCCCCCAACCTCTGGAATTCCATCCCCCAATCACTCCGCCTCGCCCCCTCCTTTGCCTCCTTCAAGTCCCGTCTCAAGACCCTCCTCTTCGACCGTACCATCGGCCACACCCTTCCCCTCCCTCGCCAACTCCAGCTCGGGTCTGAAATGCTGTACTCTGTCCACCCAGCACCTTGGGACGTCCTCCCGACGTGAAAGGCGCTGTACAAATGTAACCTTGTTGTTGTTGTTGTTAACCTATTGCCAAAAATCAGCCGCGACCAACATTTACTGTTATAATGTTGCCACCAAGTGGTAGAGCCATGTAATTACACTTACATTAACCTTTTTGAGCAAGTTTTACATCCTGGCCTCAATCGACTGGTCTGGGTAACCCACTCATTAATAATAAAAATAATAATCCTTGCATTTGATATAGCGCCTGATCACGATGAAACTTGACAACCAATTGCACACAGCTGTGTTCCACAAACAGTCGCGGACTGAATGACCGTATTTTTTAACAACCGGGATTCTATTTACTGCTCAGTAAACAGAGGCGTTACGCTTTATTCGAAGAATTTCATGGGGTCTGTCCTAAATTTGTCCTTCGCTATCCTGAACCTATTTCCTGAACCGAGCATTTTGCATTACAAATATTTAGAAGCTGTAATCTCTAAATAAGTCGATTCCTCTTTCCTTCATTCTCTTCTCGTCAAATTCTACAATCCCTTCTTTACCCAAAAATATTCATACACGTTTTGCTCCATGTTTAAAATCTGCTGTTGTGATCTTCCCTGGTAACCTATTCCACAAACACATTACCCTTGGTATAAGATGCTCCATCCTGACCTTCTGTAGTGCTAATTAATGCGCTTTGATAAGTTAAACCCTTCATCATAATGAATAATTCACCTGAACCAACAATGTCAATTCCATGCCTTCAGAACCTCTCTCTTGTGTCCTGACTTTGATAAACAACCTTGCATTCCCCTCCTTTTCCTCCCCAATTAGTAATCATTTGTGCAGCATTTCAAGACATGTATTTTACATGAAAGGCACTATTATAAGTGCAAGTTTATTGCTAAAGCATTGAATTGAGCTGGTTCAGATTTACCACAAGCCCTAGATGTCTTTCCTGATCAGCTATGTTTGCTCCATTTAACATAATTCATCATTTTCCACAATAATAATTTTATATGTATCCACACTGAACAAGATCTGCCACCTAATGGTCCATGAATTGATTTTTTTTAAATGTTTATACAGAAGCATTAATTAAATTGCTTAAATATCAGATTTGTTTTAGACAGAATTAGTTGGTCAAGATTGATTTACTAGGCATTTATAAGTCTTGATCAACATATCAAAAGAGGATACGATTGGATAAAAATATCAGAAGCTAATATCTGCCATCTCATCCCCATTGCAATCCTATCTGCTAGTCAAACAGTCAGTCAGTAATAAACCCAGCAAAAGCACACATACCGAGGCTAAAAATGGTGAGGAGGACAAAAAGGTCATAAAGCACAAAAAAGTTTTTAAATATCACAATTCTGTCTCAAAATAAATATTTGAGCAATTGGCTACAGCATTTCACCTCCCAAAAATATACAGTCAATTCTCTTTACAATATATTCTGTGAAGCGCTTTGAGATGTTTCTATGACGTGATAAGGCCCTGTATCAAATGCAAGTATTATTATTATTATTGAGGTACTAATAAGACACAACTTACCAATACCTTGAGCTCCAGCTTTGCAGGCATAGTGCAACAGAGTCATATCGGTAAGACCATCTCGGTCATTTACGTGACATCCTCGGTTCAGAATCTAAAGGAGCAAGAATGAGAATAATGTGCTTACTTCCTTGCTCACATATTCGCATCCATGTATTCAAGACAAATGATCCAGTATCATTGTGAGCACTAAATTAGGATTGTGTTCGATGTGGTTGAATCTTCATTCAGAACGCAATGTAATTTTGTTTTCAAACTATACATTTGAAGGGTACAAGTCATCCTAACGTAACAAAGGCTACAGTTGATATCAGCTCCCGCATCTGGAATTACTTCTGAAATATCTTTAAGAGATGAAGTGACCTTCATAAGTAGTTAGCCACAGAGCTGGATGGTCAAAAGAGAAATACAATCTCTTTGCTCAGATTTACAAACCTTAAATTTGAAATGTCCTGTCATTGGACTCAATTACATTTAAGATCCAAGATAAAAGTAAATACCCAAACTGGGGCTTTATACTCAAGCATGCGGCTGCATTTTACACTTGACAAGAAGAATAATGTCATCCTTTATATCTTATTCAATATATACTTCTGCATGAATCACTGAGCTAGAAACTCGAGCTCGCTGCTGCACGAAAACCAGAGAGCATTTTACAGATTACATTTGCGAAAAGGTTTTTGTCCACCTGTCGCATCTTAAAATACGGACCAAACTTGTATAATAAATGAAAAAAAGGGGAGGTTAAAAGAGCTCCCCAGCCCATTAAAAAAGTCTATGAGCTTTTTTTGTTCTGCTGAGTGTTCTGACACATGCGGAAACCCATCACCAGCTTAAGAGTATCTAAACCAGGCAGAGTTTCATGTATGCAATCACGTCTGGAACTGCACATAAAGATTCCCATGTCTGGAATATAATCCTCAGAGTAAGGCACTCTGCTTACCTGGACACCTTAATTCCAGAGAGTGTTAGGCAAGAGTCAAGATTTGGGGATCCCAGATTTATAATTAAACTTTTACTGCTTAAGCAGAATAGGCAGTGTTAAATAAAATCATACTCCAATTTGTCCGAATTATAAGGAATATGTGTTGCCCTGGAAAATACATCTTTATTAAGGTCATTAAATATACAGATGAAACATCCAATCCATCTGCTTACTGTAGCAATAATATTTTCAATCTCATGGTTTAAACATAACAGCTCAAAGATATCACTTTCATTATTCATTCACATCAGTGTCCTGATAAGATTCATAAAACTTGATATAGTTTCAAATCCCACACTATGAACAAATAAATCATTTGTCAATCAGTTGTCACATGAAATAGAGTTAGAGCTCAAGTGTACCTCAAATATTTTAAGCATATTCTTTCCTTCAAAGGCTCAGCATGAATCATTCAATCATCCCTTGTTCTGGCTGCCTGCCCACCTCCTGTGTGACCAAATGGAAGTCTTGCACAGTTCTAATGCTAGGCTTTCCTAAATGCATTCTGAACTTCAAGGCACTTATTACTGCATCAAACTTCAAGTCTGAAGAATCCAATTGTGAAAACCCAAAATGTACTCCATAATGATTACCTCCCCTTTAATTTCACTCATTATTTGAGAAATATTTAGTGTGAAAAGCCAGCCTTTTAGAAATATTCATCAATTATAGCCTTACAGTTAAAGGTATCTAAAATTTCAATACAAACAAAAGCTTGTGATCAAACTATTTGTCGCCTTGCATTCAACCAAATGAAAGGTATCATCAGAACAAAAGAGATCAGCCACTTCGGCATATCTAAATGTACAATATTAGACTCCTGCTGTGTTTTTTTAAGATGCAAAGTATTTAGGAATCTGGAAGTTTTGCTTTACCTCATTTCCAATCACATCAATCTCCTGCTGGACTTGTGGGACCCATTGCCGTAAAATAGCAAAGAGCTCAGAAATTGTCGATTTGGGATCATGTAGGATTCTCTGGCATGCTGGGTCTTGTGGATCAAAGAAAGAAAAGTCTGGAGATTAAGAACAAAAATCCAAGTGTGAATAGCAGAAATATCACTGCATTGATAAACAAACAGCAGCATTCAATGGCAAGCTCAACAAACAAGGGGAGTGTTGTTAAATAATAACTTCTTTGGGTCAGCAGATTACACATTCAAACTCCACATCAGGAGTTACATTCATAATTGTCTGACACTGTAGTGGAGAACAGTAAAACTCACATAAATCATGTCAGTGGCGATCATAACATTTAATGCGACCTGCGCGAAGTACGAAGTTTCGCCCACAAATACACAGTCACTGCACTTTACAGAGTATCCTGTGAAGCACTTTGAGACGTCTCAACGACATGATAAGGAGCTATATCAAATGCAAGGATCATTATTATTATTCATGTTGTATAGTAAAACGAACAACTTGCAATCCAAACTAACCTGCCTAGAATTGGATGATGCGCAAATAATATTCTCCACTGAGCTGAAAAAACAGCTATTTTGTTTAAAACTGTAGCTATTCCACTGGGATGGATTCCCAACAGTTGAATAACTACAACAATAATAATAAACAGCAATAACAACCCTTCAACACTAAATTTATTTTAAACAACTCAAGAAAATAGGGGCACAATTTGAAAGTTAAAGGCTCTGCTTGATTTGCATTGAAATTTGGATCGATTCACACATTACACTCCTATATGTAAGAAAAAGGTGTTCTGCAACCAGGCGTGCACAGAAGGTTAAAGCTGCATAAAAACAACAACAAGATTCCATTTATAGAGCGCCTTTCACGTCGGGAGGACATCCCAAAGCGCTGAAATAATAATCCTTGAATTTGATATAGCGCTTTTCATGTCGGAAGGACATCCCAAAGCGCTTCACAGAATACACTGTAAAGTGAATTGACTGTATATTTGTGGGCGAACGCGGCCGCCAATTGCGCACAGCAATGTCCCACAAACAGTCGTAGATTGAAAATGACCAATTTATTATTGTTTTTGGTTTTGGAGGGATTATTATTAGGTGTGTGGAGTAAGGAAACTTGCCCAAGGTTTCGCCCTCTGCCTGGAATTGAACTCAGGTCTCTCGCTTGCAAAGCGAGTGCTCTAACCACTGAGCTACAGGACTTCTGTACGAGGGAATAACAAGCAAAATAAAATGGCTTAGCATGGAGTCCGATTCTAATAATTGTAAAACAGATATGCTGCATTTCTGAGTTGGTTGACTGTTCCTAGCTTAGTAAATTGCATCAAAGTCTAACTTTACATAAGGTGTGTGTGTGTGTGTGTAGGTAGAGGTTCTAATGCTGTGTCTTCGGTCCACCAAATTACACCCTGCTTTATAACAGACCAACGCCTTGGGACGTCCTCCCAACGTAATTTTGTATTGTATTGTGCGAAGTAAACCTGCCGTGTTGAGCTGACTGGCTGACTTGCAGAGGGCGAGTCCGCTCTGGAATTGTACTGCGCTTCTGGTAACGACGGATCCAAAGAACACCAACATTCAAAGCTCACTCGCTCCAGCAAGGTGCTTTCTAACAGGATGCCCTGTATTTACATTTTTAAAACAACACAACTTGCATTTATATAGTGCCCCTTACATAGGGTAGAGTCCCAGAGTGCTTGGGAATCTCAGAGTAGCATCCCAAAGCATTTACACTGATGGAGAAGAGGAAGCTGCAATCTGGATGGATAATACTTCGACACACTTGGGGTGCAGCGTAGATTCACTCGGTTAGTTCCTGGGATGAGGGGACTGACCTATGAGGATAGGCTGAATAAACTAGGGCTATATTCTCTGGAGTGCTGAAGAATTAGGGGAGAACTTATTGAAACATATAAGATTCTTAAAGGGCTGATAAAGTAGACACTGAGGGACTGTTTCCCCGGTAGGAGAATCTGTAACCAGGGGTCACAGTCTGAAAATTAAGGGTCAGCCTCTTAGAACAGAGTTGAGGAAACATTTCTTCACTCAGAGGGTAGTGACTTTATGGAATTCACTACCCCAGAAGGCTGTAGATGCTCAGACCTTGAACATCTTCAAGGCTGAGACTGATAGATTTTTAAAAACAGAGGGATTAGGGGATATGGGGACAGGGCAGGTAATTAGAGTTAGGTCAGAAGATCAGCCATGATCTTATTGAATGGCGGGGCAGCTCGAGGGGCCGAATGGCCGACTCCTGTTCCTAATTCTTATGTTCTTATTCTCTATCAGTTCAAATACAAATACTGGACTTTCTTGCACTAAGCCACTCCATGCATAATATAACCTCATAAGGCAAACATGGTGGACCGATTTTTTTCCTTCTTTGCCAGCAGCTAGTTATTTTAAACAACTCTTCAATAAAGATAAACAGTTGAGTTAAAGCATTTGAACTGGCTTTCCTGCCTAGCTCCCCACTCAGACAGTGGTACAGCCAACTGCAAAAAGTATCCTATAATTTCTCTCCCTTAAAGATTTTGATGAAGCGTTTTTTTTTTAAAAAGTGTGAAAATACTGCTTCCATAATTATGAATTTTCAAAACGTTTGCATGGATTAAGCGGACGAGAACTTTCCAGGATGTTCCTGTATCAGTATGGCTCCATTTTTACCTGGAATCTGATCACCTTTGCAACAGGATATTGGTTGCTCTGCTTCATGGAAATAAGACAAAATTACATTTGTATAGCTCCTTTCACGTTGGCAAGAGGTCCCGAGGCATTGGACAGTAATACAATACAGAATCATTGATATCTTCAACAAATTAGGCTAAAGATTGGGCAAAGTATATCGGTGGAGATACCCCTTCCAGGAAAAGCAAATACACCATCAAAAAGAACTGAATTATTTAACAATTAATGAAGTGTTCATGGTCTGCTCTTTCCTAATGTAGGTGGCTGAACTAACTACTGTACTTACCGCAATCTGTAGGCATAGGTGCAGAAGCTACTGGGTAGACAACTGCTCTCTCAGAATCTGAGGATACTGGGCTGTAATTTCTGCACACAGAGCTTCCGTCATGTGAGGATTCGACAAAGGGGTCTTCTTTAGTCATTTCAATGCCAGTTCCTGCAAAAGATAAACAGACTCTTAATATTTTTTTGCTAGCATTTTAATTAATTAAGTTTGGCAAAAAATCTTTCTATTGGATCAGGCTCTTCCCCCCCCTCCACCCTTTTTTCATTTGGCCTGCCATTAATAACAATAATCCTTGTATTTGATATACTGCCTTATCACATCGCTGAGACTTCTCAAAGCTCTTCACAGGATAAAGTGGAGTGACTTTGTATTTTGTGGGCGAAAAGTGGCAGTCAATTACGCACAGCTAAGTCCCAGAAATAATCATGGATTGAGTGACCAATTTTTATTTGAGACTGTTATCACCAGAAAGCAATCTGCCAATCGACTAACAACCAGATTCCTACTTACTGCTATGCTAGATAAACAAGAGGCGTGTGGAGTAAGGAAACTTGCCAAAGGTTTCTCGCATTAAATTAAACAGTTTATTTTACTTCTATTCTCCCCTTAGTGACCTATAGGAGTTTTGAACTTATTTGAAATTCTATGTTTTGAAAGAAAGAAAAGAAAAACTTATGTTTATTGTACACTACCACGTCATTGTTTGAAAGTGCTTTTTAATTAAGTACTGCCAAATGAAGTATGTTTTTTGTTGGTAAATGTGAATGGTGAATGACTAATCATGAAATCTTTCAACTAATAGTGAACCAAAAGTTCAAACTTTTATGATTGCTGACTGTATGGTTAACTTTAGATGTATAGGTCGGGGGAATATTTTTTCTGGTACCAATATTAGCCACCAAACACAAATAACAGTGGAAAGATTCCTCAGCTTTAAATAACCAATTCATTTATTGGCAGACACTGTGAATGGAAACAATTGTTAGGCAAAGGCAAGCTTGACATATGCAAAATAGCTCTAGGCACACATGCGATGATATAAAACCTGTACCAGTTACTACATTTCAAAGGATTTGCTGACACTACAGTATCAGAAGTTGAAGGTATTGACTTAGGTGTTCTTCAACAGATAGAATAGTAAAGATTAGACACAGGATGTATTTCTCTATGTTTCTATGGAATTTACAAAATTAAACTGATGAATCATAAAGAGAGATCAAATATATGGGCAATAGCAAATGTGGATTATTAGTAATCTACATTGCATTTATCTAATGTATGCAAAGATCATAAGACTATCAGGTGAATAGCAAAAGAGTAAACAGTCTGAGTCGATAAATAACTAATAAATAAATATTCAGAACAAGGACTTATTTTCCCCCTTTTACAATATTTTCCAAACGTATTCGGTTCCTCCTTCTGTGAAGGAAATCGTTAAGTTTGTGGTTGACAATTAGCACCAGTATGAAATGAATAAAAGCTTCTTGTTATAGACATGCATCTGATGTTGTAAGGCTATCATTTCCTTAAAAGGATTAAAGCTTCATTCAATTGCTTTCAAAATGATTTAATAAAGCATATCAAGATTATAAAACAATTTTGATAAGAAAGAGAAAAGCCATTCCACTGACTGCTTAGTCTGTAACAAGAGGGCATAATAATGAATGGAGAGATAAGCATTTTTTTTCACATATGAGGTTATTAGAATATTAAACATCTTAATACAAATGGGATGTTGAACCCAGGTCCTGAACCGTATTTGAAAGGGCAGTGGATAAATCCTAAAGAACAAATAAAGAGTAATATGGAGGGAGAGGGAGTTGGCAGCAGGAAGAATGGGCAGGGATACAGTCCAGTCGAGGACTAGCATGGGTCCATCTATGCTATAAATTTTTGATGATTCTAGAAGTGAGAATTGGCTTTTGATTCTCAGTTGAAAATAAATGGAAAATTCTTGGGCATTATTTCCAGGAGAGAATCAAAGGCCAATATCTTAGTTCAAGAATTAGGAAAAGGTAGGTATATATTAACCATCTGTAAATGTTTCAATAGTTATTAAGTTTGCAAGACTTAACATAGATTTTCATCCTTTAAATTGGTTTGTGCAAACTACTGTATATGGACATACTCTTTAATAGTAATAATCATAATCCTTACATTTGATAAAGCATCTTATCACATCTTCGAGATGTCTCAAAGCTAATTGCGCACTGCAGTGTCCCACAAAGTCATGAATTGATTGACAAAATAATACTATTTTTTTAAGGGATTATTACCTCCAGAAAAGCGATCGACTAGGTAAACAGAGGCGTGTGGAGTAAGGAAACTTACCTAACATTTCACTCTGCCGAACCCAGGTCCTCTCGCTTGTGAAGCGAGTGCTCTAACCACTAAGCTCCACAGGAGTCCAGAATAATAAAGACTAACCAAGATCAGATCTTTGGAGATTTAATATTATTATTAAATAAATTGCTAATCTACATTTCCCAATCACAGGACTAGTAAAACCACTTTGGGTTTGTACCACTCATATGCATTTGTCACCCTCTATTCCTAGCTCTCACATTCTTTTACTTGAAGCTTACCTCTGTTCTGCTGTTAAAGATAAGGGACAACTTTGATGGTTGCTTCCATGCTATCCTTCCGGATCAGAGGAAAATTAGTATTTCTTCTTTTCCCTTTGCCCCCAAAGAGATTCAGTTATTTGTTTTTATGGCAGAAAGTGCCAGACAGAGCATTCTATTTTCCCCGATTACAACATTCACACTGAGAAGTATATAGTCATGAAACACAATTGGCGTCACGCAGGACTAGAAAATTGCATGGCCTGTACATATTATACTTTTTTTATGCTTTGCGTGGGTGGAGGGGAGGAAAGAGATGGATTTGTTCGGCAATTTCAGCCCAGCAATACAGTTTTTTTTATAGCGCCATATTTTGCCTGAATCATAAATGACAAAAAAGACAAAAAGCTTCTCGTTTTGTCTCCGGGAATGAATAAGACTAGACGATGAAAACTAGTTATTAGAATTCTATTTCATGGCAATAACAGTGGTAATGTAACATGGAGAGAATGAGCATTATTATGATAACGAGCACAAGCAAGGTCCTTATTTAGCACAATGTCCAATTCCACAATTTCATAAAATCATTGTATACTAACAGCCACACAGCAAGGAAAAACACAAAGATTCATGATAAGGGCAAGCCTTTGGCATCATCACAAACAATACAGTATTCACCTTATTACATCAATTTGGTGCTGAAAATAGCCGTAGAAATCAAACACCATAATATCACAGGAGAAAATGTGAAGTTAACACAAAGACTGAACTATTTTTAAGAAGGACCCTGAGGGGCAGCCAATCATTTTACTAAAATGACCAGTAATTCTATACTAGAGTAATACTAAGTTGTAAATAATAATAATCCTTGTATTTGATATAGCGCCATATCACGTCTTCGAAACGTCTCAAAGCCGTTCACAGAATATTCTATAAAGTGAATTAACTATACATTTTGTGGGCGAAACTCGGTAGCCAATTGCACACAGCAGTGTCCCACAAAAAGTCATGGATTGAGTGACCAAATTATTATTATTTATTTATTTATTGTTTTGAAGGGATATTATCCCTGGAAAACCCCGGCAAGTTAGGAAACTTGCCCAACGTTTCGCCCTCCCCGGGAATCGAACCCAGGTCCTCTCATTTGTGGGGCGAGTGCTCTAACCACTAAGCTACAGGACTCCACAAAAAAGCAAACAATTCCCAGCACATTGACTTCCTAATCTTGCCATGCCATTTAAGGGAAAGTTATGAGCGTATCAGACGCCAGGTTATTCCCCAGAGAAAGAATATACTGTAGTTAGCAGACTGACTGTTCCCTCATGCCATTTTAGCACCTGATTAGACAACACTAGCAGAAGCTTATGTGGTTGATGACTTCCCGAGAACCAAGTAACAGTAGTATCAGACTTCTTAAACACATTAATTTTTTACCACATTTATAATAGTTTTTACATCGTCAATCCAAAAGGCATTTTGGTCAGAAATTAATAGTTATTTATAATCAGTTTTGTTTTACAATTGTAGAAATGAAACTTACCAGCTCACACCATGTCAAGAGAACAATTCTAACTTAGATGAATGAAACTGTGCCACCACTTGTTCGTAGTATTACGTGAAGGCAGTCAGGTAATCAGTATGTCCTAGCTGACCTAGCAAGGAAATGGATTAACTGACTAAATTTAGAGCCAGCAGTGCAGCTCGTATCAACACTATCACCAGAGGATTCAAAGGTTAGTGGTAAGCTTTAAATAGAACAGCAAGCTATTTCAGGTGCTGAAAACCCTTCCAAGTACTTATTTGACTCAATGTATTTTAAACCATAGACATTAACTTGATGCCAAATTAACTGTGATCATCCCCGTCCCATTTAAAACGCTGTTAAAGCAAGAATGGGCAACAGGTACATGATTTGTGTTCCATTAAAACTACAAAGATGGTCAAATAAACCAAGTTACACTTTAAAGATTCTTCAACTCTGATCAAGTTAAAACTGAAGTAGAAGTCTCTACTTTTCCTTTACATCTCAGTATTGAGACGCATTTCAAAGATTGAATGCATTCTAGAAAGTTGTAACGTACTCCTTCAAAGTTATCTATTGTATTTTGGGGGTCATCAATAGGGAGGAGGCCTTACCAAAGAGCGAAGATCTATAGAAGTGAGCAAGCGTAACTAGGCTTTGTGAATGAGTTCTCTACCTTGTTTGTCTTTGTATATCAGTAATTTTCTCTCCTTTGTTGTCCATTTCTGCCCCTTCTCCATTCCCTACCCCATCTCTCTGTGGGTTTAATAATAATGCTTCCATTTGACATAGCACCTTTTTCCTCAAAAGGTTCTTGACTCCACTGGATACCCATCCCCCAGCAGGTCGAATTCAAAATTCTTCTCATTCAATTCCTTCCATGGACTTGCCCACCCTAACTCTGTGACCTTCTGCACCCCTATCACCCAAGCCGCTGAGGTAACACCAGCCTGATTCATGTTACCCCCTTACTCCCCCATGCCTCCAATCTTCCCCACAGCGGGTGAGCTATTAGCTATTCTGAGCCAGTCTCTGGAACTCCATCCCAGAGACCCTCCACCTTGCCTCCCTGTACCTTAAGACCCATGTTTTTGACAGGTTTTGGTCCCCTTCCCTTCCCACCCCAACCTGCAGCAACATGGGTGCCGAGTCAGCTGTGTAAAGCACTTAAGATTTCCTCCCGACGTGAAAGGCACTTTGCAAGTATACATTTCTGTTGGTTCATATTGGGAGGATATCTCAAAGCGCTTGACAGCATTTGCTGTAAAACGTAGTGACTGTGTATATTGTAGGCAAACCTGTTTGCTCTGTGTATGTGTCGCTCTGTTTCTGTGCCTTCTGTGTATGTGTCTCTCTCATCAGTGTTCATCTGTGAGTCTTTGCCTCTGCCTTATCTTAGTGGAGTCCTGTAGCTCAGTGGTTAGACCACTCGGCTCGCAAGCAAGAGACCTGGGTTTGTTTCCCAGCTGGGCGAAATGTTAGGCAAGTTTCCTTAGTCCACACTCCTGTTTACCTAGCAGTAAGTAGCAACCCAGTTGTTAGTCGATTGGCAGATCGTTTTTCTGGGGGTAATAATTCCTTCAAAACAAAATAATAATAATTAATTGGTCACTTCAATCCACGACTGTTTGTGGGACACTGCTGTGCGCAATTGGCTGCTGTGTTTCGCCCTCAAAATATGCAGTCAATTCATTTTACGGTATATTCTATGAAGCGCTTTGAGACGTCTCAAAGATGTGATAAGGCGCTCTATCAAACGTAAGGATTATTATTATATTATCAACACTGTCAAACTCACTTGTTCTTTCCTATGTAAACAACTTGGATCATCCTTGTGAACATCCATGCAGTTTTATACAGGATGGAAATAAATTGGGATCATTAGAATCTATTCCCAGTGAGACTAATGTAATGTTTTAAGAGTTAAGTGCTGCCATAGCACCTTATAGAAATAATAATTTCATTGGATAACGTGTCTGGCTAGGCTGTATTTTTTCACAAGGTATAACAATGCAACAATTAGTAGATGGCAAGATGTTAGTTACCTGTGTATGCTTTAAAATTGCAGAGGAATATAGGAATAAATCAAAGTTCAAAGCAACTAAAGTTTAATTGAAGTGCTCCAATACTTTAAAGCTCTCAGAATCATGTTGTCTAAAACCACTACAGAGTGGATCATTTCACAAGAGATACATTCAACGTCTCTCACACTTGAGGTTTTCTTTGGGAGAGAGCAAAACTTCTGAGAGGAAGAGAGCCAACTCCTATCTCACTTTTAATTAACTGTTTATATCACACTTTGCATGTATTTCACAGCACCCAGTACAAAATCGATTAGCTGCACAATCTAAAAGCAAACCACACTAAGACAAGATTCTTTAAAAATCCAATGCACCCAATACCTTTTAAGAAGCCATCTGTGCAGCTAACTTAAATAAAGTTGAAAGCAAATTGTACTAATAAGTTAAATCTGTGCACACACTTAATTACACATCCACGACTGTTTGTGAGACACGGCTGTGCTCAATTGGCTGCTGCGTTTCATCCACAAAATATAGTCAATTCACTTCACAGTATATTCTGTGAAACACTTTGAGACATCTCGAAGATGTGATAAGCCCTATATCAAATGCAAAGATTATTATTATTACAGACATTGCTGTCCTCAGCCTTGGGCAAGAACATATATCAACTTCCATCTCTGCTCTCAATCACACTACTGCCAGAAAAGCTTACATTGCTTTCAGGGACATAAACCAGACTAAAAAATATAGGTTTATGGTGATGAAGGCAGAAGCCTGAAAGCAGAGTGCTTGTCTTCTCAGCCAGGTTATAGCGCAGAGAGGCAGAAAGAACAATGCAAATCAACATCTTGCTGTGCCACCCTCCCAGGTGAAGGGTTAAGATACAATAATCAAACTAGAAACGCAGCCATCATGGCCTTGCTCCCTAGAACTCCCTCTGCTCTCACCCTCTTCAACTATAGCTTGTCACATTCCTCTTACCCCGTGATAATTAAAAATAGTATAATCCAGTTTCCTTTTAAAAAATGAAAGAACAACGAGCATACAAACTCATTCAACATGAATCAGCAGAGGCTTATTCTCTGAAGTTCTTTTAATAATAATAATCCTTGCATTTGATACAGCACCATATCATATTTTTGAAACGTTTCAAAGCGCTTCACAGAATATTCTGTAAAGTGAATTGACTGTATATTTTGTGGGCGAAACATGGCAGCTAATTGCACACAGCAGTGTCCCATAAACAGTCGTGGATTAAGTGACAATTTTGGGGGGAGGGAATATTACCCCCGGAAAGTGATCCGCCAATCGACTAAGCACCAGGTTCTACTTATTGCAAGGTAAACAGAGACAAAGTGTGAACAACGTAATTTGATTATACCAGAAACAACAAAACAATGCAGAGGTCCACATCCCAATCTGAATGGGAGTCCTGTTTCAAATAATAAGCATTAAGAACCAATGCTTATTAATGAAACCTGACTATGATTTTAGCCTCCTAAAGATGACATTGTGAAAGAAAACCCGGTTTGCTATGTCTGTTCCAGATTAGCCTGCATTTACTGTTTGCACCTGTGGGAAGTAAAAGCACACAACACAGGCTGAAAAGGAGCGACCTTGGGTGCAGCTGAAAATAATAGCTCCCTCTGAAAGTAAACATGCTCTAGTAGGCAATTGATGAGCTGAAATCAGACAAAACACACAAAATTGTCACACCCACCTTCTTCCCACGTCACCGATGCTCCACAAAATCCATGCAAAGTACTCGGAGAGTCTACTATTTTCAAACTGTTATCGTAGAAGGTGCATACGAGCTAGGAAATTCACAACCATATTAATAAGGGACATAAAGTCAGTCCACTCTTAAGTCTCTCAGAAAGCAAAAGTATAGACTCAATCCTTCAGAGATCATGAGCCAAACAGTTCACTGCAATTTTAGGAACCAGTTCTAATGCAAGTCACTGGATAAAAAGTACTTGTACTCTGTGTCTTCTACACAAGGAGTATTGATTGACCTGAAAAGACAGATGGTGAATCTCACTTCTCTAGGCTTAAAAACATGATATCTGAAATCTGAGCAGTCCCATTACCTGGCTCTATTGGAGACATCTAGTTTCCATCCTTCTGATAAACCAGCACAGCTGTCCTGCATAGTGTGTTACATCCAGAGTAAATAATGTTTCATCAGCCAAGTTCCTGTATAGCATTGAGTTGCTGGAGATGTCCCCTTGTGATTTGATAATGTAATTACCTTGGAGATATTCCTGCTTAACAGAAGCATCCCGAACTTTCTGCAATTCAAAGTTCCTACCTGGTACAATCTAAACATTTTAAAATTTGCTTACATCTTGCAAAAGGATCCATCATCTTATGTTGTGTTCACGATTCTCATTAAGTAAATATTTTAGAACTGTCTTTTCCCAGGCATAACATTTCATTTTTAATATTGTTCATCATATTTATTAATTTATGAATTTGACTCCCATTCTACAAGTTATTTCCTATTTTTTCTATGATTTATATTCACTGTTCCATCTCGCCCTGCAACACTACTTATTACAATAACCCTTACATTTGGTATAGCACCTTTCACGTCAGGAGGATGTCCTGAAGCACCTCACAGGACTTACTATGGAGTGAGTGTGCATTTGTGGACGAACATGGCAGAAGTGAATGACCAATTTTACATGGTTACATGGTCAGGATATGGGATAAATCTCTTCACTTTTTCAACAATGCCATGGGTTCTTTTAACATCCACCTCGTCCACCAACGAGGCCTCAGTTTAATGTCTCAAACAAAAGACGGCACCTCCAACAATATAGCACACACCCCAGCACCGCAATGAAGTGTCGGCTTGGAGTATACAAGTTCCAAGTCCTGATTTAGGGCTTGAACCCACAATCTTCTGAATCAGAGGTCAGAGGCTTGCAGTTACTTAGCACTTTTCACGTACACTTTTCACGTACAAGGTGCTTGACAAATATAAAGGCTTGCACTTGACGGGAAAATGGAGAATTGAAGATGTTAAAGGCTTGGTGAAAGAGATACGTGTTTTGCACTTTGAAGGCAAGGAGAGCGATAGCAAAGTGGGGTTGTTTCACGAACGTAACAAAACAAAGTATTTCTACTCAGCAGTGCCAGCGTTTTAGTGCTGACTCCATAAAGCTTACAAGATGCTTCCAAATAAAGAAATCCTGTATTATTTTTGGTCAGGCCTGCTCAACCACCCAAGTTTCGGGCAGAGCCTCAAAGAAGCACTACACAAAACCTATCTTTCCATCTGTAAAAATAGTTGCTCTCTGTATAGGCGAGTCAACACTGAAGTTTCAATGTTTTGAAACCAAGCTGTCCTTGGGTGGTACGGAGATTGTCAGAATTATCCATTCTGATGTCACTAGTGGTAATGGAGTTGAAACAGTGTGAAAATGTAAAGGATATTTCCTGCCCATGCATTTGAGAGATTATTTAGTACTCTTCCTGCAAAATACAGTTTTTGCTACCAATCAATAAGCAATCCTCACCCAGAATTTCCAAATGAATGGTACATTCAAAAGTTGGACTTCACATTTACTCAAAGTTCATCATGATATTCTGCAACTCTGCGAGGCACTAAGCAAAAAAATGGAAAGGATGTTACAATAATAATAATCCTGTGTAGATGAACGCAGCAGCCAATCTGCACACAGCAATGTCCCATAGAGCGAGTAACCAACTTTATTTGGAGAAAATTGTTGGCTAAGCCACCATGAAAAAATTACCTTCTCTTTTTGAATAGTGCTGTGGGATCTCTAACATCCACCTGAAAAGGCAGACAGGACCTTGGTTTATCGTCTCATCCAAAGGATTTCACCTTTAACAAAGCAGTGCCACCTTCAACAAAGCAGCAAAGTTTTAATCTGGACCAGTGGGGCCAACCTTTTTGGTTGGACAACAAAATCAATTTTCTTCATTGAATACCTCTTGATTTAAGCCACATATCAAGAAGTATTGGGGCATCCTTCTTGACGGCCCTGCAAGACACTTCTGGCCTGTGGGTCATGGGTTGGCCTTCACTGGCCTAGACTGTGATCTCAATGGTCCAATGTGGGGCTTGGACCCACAAACTCAGAGGCAAGAGTGCTGCCAAGATCCAGGCTGACAATGCTTTTAATTGCACTGATATAGGCCCGAGATTGATTCCTCGTGTCTATGTACGAGCAAACGAGGCAGCTAATTTGCACACAGCAATGTCCCACAAACAGCCATGAAGTCAATGACAAATTTTATTTAGAGGTACATATTGGTGGTATTCTTGTTTGTCAGGAGTACCACGAGCCACACAGCATAGTGGGACCCACACATTCTCCACATTCCATGAATGCACAGTCTCATAGCTTTGATTTTTATTTGAACAGTTTCTTCGCTCATTTCTCACTGTTTTCATTTATCCCAAACAATACAGCGTACTGTTCTTTTATGTGTGTCTGTTTTTTGTCAGAACTGCATGACCCAAGAGGGAAACAATTAGTCTGCTTGTAGCAATTTCCTACTAGATCTCAGTGTCTCATATGCCTGGTGGAATCTCTAAGAGATGTGAAGATTACACACAAACCAATAGTTTTCAAACTAAAGAATCTAATTTAATTCAGAAAAGATTAATTACACAAGAGTAACATGACTTTAGGCATTATACCCTTTTAATCACTTGCTTTTAAACTCTGTTCAATTACCCACTTTGTTTCCTGCAGAATGCTTTTCTTCCTCACCTCAACTAGTTTGATTTATAGATTTTTTGGGGAATCATGTATAGCCTCGTAAGTGCTGCAGTCTTCACAGTGTCAAGCTACCAGAAGAACTCACACGCTGGAGGAAAGTTCTATCTCTTAATGCCATGCATCTTACATTTGAAAGCCTGAATTCAAAGAAATGAACACCATTACAAGCATTATACAATAAATAATAGAAACACAAACAGCAACTTGCATTCATATAGCACCCTTTCGCTGGGCAGTGTCTTGGAGCGCTTAAAACAATGAGGTAGGACTGGGCTGAACAGAATATTTCAGAATATTTCACCTAATCAGTTCACCTAATTGTTTTCCAAACCAACAATTGGATAAAAATTATAAAGATCAAAAATCCTAGCCTGAGAATAAATTTGTCTGATTGTAAAGTACAACTATCACTCGCAGATAACTGGCTCAGAAATTATATGTTTGCTTGAATATACCCTCACACTTAACAGCACATTCCCTTATTATTTCAATCGACTTAATGACATAGTAGGAATGACAGCAATTCTGAGCTACATCAGAAACAGGCAACATCAAATACTAACACAATATCCAATTCTCTACTAACACAAACCCAATCCTTCATTTTAAATAAAGGCATTGAACCCTATATCAAAGCTTTTTGAAACGACAGGCACCCAAATAGGTTGAATTAAAACTGTTCCCCCACCACCCTAGAAAAACAACACAAGGCCTATTATGAGCCACATAATGTGTGAAAGTGGGCAGTGGTACAGTACGAGCTTGGTCTTTAGTCCTCAATTTACAAGGAAACCAGTCTCTAGGGTAAATCAAGGGTCGCTTCTCTTTTGCGCAGCATCTTAAGAGGGATCTCAGATAAGCATATCATTGAGATAAAGGTGATTATGGAGGTGCTACTTTCAATGGAAGACTGTGACTGCAGTTTGTTATATAAAAACACTTATGCCCTCTAAATTGAAGTAGAGGAACATTGTGTGACATCCTAATTTCCCAGCATCAAAACATGTAATCTGAAGTCAATGCAGATAGTTAATGGCTAGTTTTCCAAACACGCTGCCGGAATTAATCACGATATTTGTTATCCACCACCACAACTTTTACTGGCAAATACAGTTTGAGTCAAAAAAATGTCCTGCAAGAAATGTACCCTCTCAGATTTCAGTTCTATGTTAAACACAGCACAAATTGCCACGTGACAAAAACAGAACTCAAGTACACAATGCAAATCAGGGTTGGGAATCACACTAATAAATTGAAACAGATGGTTTACAATATAATCCGATTCACTTACTGTCTGCCTACTCTTAGGGAAAAGAGGAGGAAAGCAGACTGCTTGTAGCTGAGCTCACTCCAAGGTGACCTGCTTGGCAGCACAATGTTAAAATCGAGTCAATCCTCTGTGGATGTCTAAGTAGTGCAGTTCATGAAGCCAGGTCAGTTCGCAATACTACAGAACACTTCTGATGCCAGACACCAGCCAACCAGTCTCGTTAGCAAAACTTGGAGGGTCAGACCCCAGTCACTGGGAGCAGGGATTCTTCCCATTCAGCTCCTAGAGCGTGTGTTGGGATAGTCCTCTAGTACTATCCCGACATACACTCTAGGATTCCCAAGCCTTGACAGTTGCCAACCTGCACTTAATTCTCTCTGGAATTAGGTAAGCAAGATATATCCCTCCAGGGCAAGAGTGTGTATTCCATTCAAGATACAGGGAAATTTCCGTGTGTAGGTGGCATACATATGTGGAACTCAGTCTGGTTTGGATATTTTTAAGTATGGTAATGGCTATAATTATAATACTTCTCAATCTTTTGTTACCATACATGTAAATAAAAGGAAATATGAATTAAAATACCTACACTAGACCAATCATATCATTATCTTCAAACAATTTGGCATATTCATTAAGATTCACAAGATTCTCATTCATAAGAAATATATAAATACATATTATGTTGGTGAGTTTATTGTTAAATGTAATTTCTTTGCCATAGGCTCTGGAGATGGCACATTTTCTGGGAACATGCTGCCTTATTTCCCAATTAAGAATATATTAGGGAAAGGATACTGTGGAGCCCCGGTGTTAGGTTGTGTCCTAACACAATGTTAGGACATGGGTTTGATTCTTTACTCTGAGCTCCAAATGTCAAGATATTTATTCTGAGGCGTGTGAGCAGGTGCTCAGAGTAACGGATGCCAAAAGCATGAGTGAAAGGAAATTG